ATACAAAGTTCATATATATCTTCACACCATCCTTCTCTCACATTGTGTTTCATTCAATCATTCCAATTCATTGTTTTATAAAATTAGCCACCTTGGAACTATGACCCACCATTATTACCCTGTCTTTCCAGATCCCCACCTGGTCCTTCCCATTTCTTTTACCCTTTCCCTCCACCCACTAAATTGTGCGACTGTATAGTATAACCCCTGCCCATCCTCATCCCTCTGTTCCCACTCTACTAGTTGTCTTTTGACATAGTAAGTGCTCCGTAAATTATTATTTTGGTGGTAGTAATAACACATTCTCAGAGAGGGAGGCTATCTTTGTAAAGAACAGAAATCACCTCTCTGCATATATAGTCTGTATACATGGCATCAACTCCCCCTGGTGGACAAAGCTAGAGCCATAGGAGCATTATCAGGCCTTTCCATCCCACTGGCCACTGCCTTTAGCTGGCCCCACAGGTTGCAGAAGCTTGGCTTCTATTTGCTTAGAAGGGCCCAAGACAATCCTGATCAAACAGGAAACAGTCCAAGGAGAGAAAGCAGTTAAACCAAATAAAGACAACGTCCCCGCTGTGCTGGGGAGTGGGCAGATACCTGTGCCATAGTCGATGCGTGTAGAGTTCCCCACTGACTCCTTTAGGTAAACAGCCACCTCAGGCACAGCAGCTGACAGATGAGTGGGGACCACTGTGGCCACCAAATTTTCTGCCTCCTGATAACACAAGAGATACAAAGTGGTGGTAGCAGATTAGGCAGCACGACAGTGGGCAGATACCCAGGGGAAGCGTCTGGCAGGGGCCCAGGCTGCCACACCAGGCTGGCCTGGCTCTTTGCTCTGAATGGTTCACAGAAGGAAGGGGCAGTCTCCTGGGCAGAGGAGGGAGAAAATCTATTTTTATATATTTAGGCTACCTGGGGTGGCTTTTTATCTGCTGCCCCTCCTTCCTACTGGCAAGACAGCAAAAACTCTGAAAAGAAGCCATTCCATTCCCTTCTCTGGTAACTCACTGGACACCCACAAAGACCCTGAGAGACTCTAATGTTATTACCCTTATATAGCCATATCTCTTCAACATGATCCCAGGGGAATAAAAATTCATACTCTCAATCTATATATCTAGCAAAAGACATATACAAGAATGTTCAGAGCCACACTGTTCATGGTAGCCTAAAAATATTGACTCAAAACCAAAAATGTCCATCAACAGTAGAATAGATAAATAAATTGTGGTATCCACGTACATGGAATACTAGCCAGCAGTGAAAAACATCTACTGTCATGTATAACATCAATGAATCTTGGATAGTATGTTGTACAAAAGAAGTTCATGAACACAAAGTATATAAACAGGCAAAAGTAATCTATTTGTGAGAAGTCAGAAGAGTTTAGAAATATCAACTAAACAGTAAGGTGCAGTTCTGCTGGGACACTAGTGTTCTGCAGTCTGATATGGGTGGTGTCGTCCTGGGTAAAAATCCATCAAACTCTACTGCTATAATTCATTAGATTTTTTCAATGTAAAGTATAATACAAGAAGCAGCTATTTTTAATGAATTAATTTTAAAGAAAGTTTACAGAGACTTTGGATTTCTATTCATTCATTGTCACACTTTTTTCCCTGCGCAACCTCTCCCCCAATTCACTCTTCTCTTTGAAAAGTAAAAGAAAAAGTCTTTCAATGTTATACAATCCCTCCCCCCAAGTCCACTCCACTATGCAGCCTTCGTTCTAGACTCCTGTAATGACAATAATACCTAATCACATATCCCTTTTAAACCGTTTTCTCCCTTATCTGTTTCAATGTAGTATACATTATTGAAGCCATCTTTCTAAGTCTCCCTCCAACCCCGATGCCAGTCCTGTTTTACAACAGTGACACTGCAGTATTCATCCTTTTGTGACTGGGGTATTTCACTCAGCATAATGTTCCCCAGAGTCAACCATTTTGAATAATACTGCATGAGCTCCTTATTTTTCAATGCAGCATAGTATTCCATTGTGTGAATATACCACAGCTTCTCTATCCATTCACTAAGAAGAAATATGTGCCAGACTCCAGAAGGACCCCAAGCAGCTCTGCACCCGGGAAGACCCGTACTAGTGTGCTGAGTCCTGGGCAGTCCCCTCGGCTCCATTTTTAAGACAATGTAATAAAACCATTATTGTAGAATGAGTATAATGACCCAAGAGGGGTGGGAGAGGTTGCAAGCAGAGGGATGAGAATGTACAGGAGGAGGGACTATTATCATGGGGTTGTACAATTTGATGGGTGAAGGGGTAACATAAATGAAAATAATTTGTTCTTGAAAACAATGTATTTGAATTTTGCAAATAAATTAATAGAAAAATTTTAAAACAAACAAAAAAAAAGACAATGTACCAGAGAAATTAGGAGCTAAGTGTCTAAATTTAATGTGCTGACACCTGGCATCAGGCTAGCTGGAGAGCTGCTTACAACCTGTATTCACGGCCCATTGCAAAGCAACAAGTGCTTAAAACTGATGGAGGGGGGCTGCTAATTACTGTATAAAAATACTGTCTTTTAAGTAAAGTTTACAGATCATATTGGGTTTTCATCTACTCATAGACATTTTGTTTTATAACATTACCTGAAGATGTTATGTGCCATCAATTCACCTGTGATTCATAGCGACCCTATGTACAATAGTTCTGATCCCTGCTCTATCCTGAGCTAGTGTCACTGACTCTGACACACCTAACGCCAACTGCCCAAGTTATCGTGTAAATCCATCTCATCCGAGGTCCTCCACTCCTGCACTGTACCTCCACCCCTCCAAGCATGATGTCCTTCTCCAAAGACATGCCCCTCCTGGCCACGTGCCCAAATTTTGTGAGATGAAGTTTTAAAATCCTTGCCTCCAAGAAGAACCTTGGTTTCACCCTCTCCAAGACAGACCTATTTGTTCTGGCAATCATGGTACGTTTAATACTCTTCTCCAGCACCACAGCTCAAAGATATCAATTCTTCTTCTGTCATCCTTAGTCATTGTCCAGCTTTCTGATGCAAAGCAAGTAACTGCAAAGACCATTGCTTGTATCAGGTGCACCTTAGTCTCTAAACTGACATCATTGCTTTTTAGCACTTTGGAGAGGTCTCCAAGAGCAGACTTCCCGAGTGTAATTAATCTTTTGATTTCCTGACCACTGGTGCCAAGAGTGTTACTTTTTTGTTTGTTTGTTTCAAGTTAAGTTAAAAAATAAAACCATGATAAAAAGTATTCACTGAGAAGTCTCACTCCTACCTCTGTTGCATCCACTCTATTCTTCCTTACCCTCAAAACTGAACCACTCTTTCATCTGCTTCCTGGGTAGTCTTGCAGGGATTTTTTAATTATTAATGCAAATATTAGTAATATAAACATATATTTTTATTTGCCCTCTTTTTAATCAAAAGTTAATTTGCCATATACACTGTTATACCTAGCTCTTAACATGACAATAAATTTCAGATCTCATTCCACTAAGTTTCCTAGAAAGTTCCTTATTCCTTTTTCACAGCTACATAGTACCAAACAGCATGGACATACTACATTCTACTTAGCTAGTTGCTTATTGATGGACACCTGGAATGTTTCAAATTTTTCCAATGCCTTAATAAATAACCCTGTGCAAAGGCTACATATATTCACAGAAGGATCTGTAGTAACAATTCCCACAAGACAGCTTGTGCAGAAAATAAATATATTTGTAATTTTGATGCTTCCCAATGATTTCACTATGCCGAAAAGCCTGAAGTGGGCTATTCTCCTTCTTGATAACAATGTAGACTTTTCCCTGTCCTATTAATAGAGCCCTCTAGGTTTTCTTCAGTACCAGAATCACCATCCTCCCAGCCCAGCCTCCACAAACACCTATCCTGTGGCAGCCTCACCTCATCGAGTTTGGCATACCAGGTCCTGTACGCCTTGTCCCCAAATCGAGAGGGCTGGTCCACTGGGGGTGTCTCATCAATCCACCTGTCTAGTGTGTTGAGAACAGCAACCAGTTTCTCAATGGCCTGTAGAAGCAAACAAGAGAGAGCCAAGTCACAGTGAGGAGTGGCTCCAAGCTGGAGCCACAGAGGGAAGTCTCATCTGCTATAAGACTGGGTCCTTAGGCACAGCTGGAGAGGTGGAGAATTGCTGGGCTCCACCTGATCTACAGAACTAGTCTACACTGAGGAAGAGCTGCAGGACAAGCTCAGACTCCACCCCTGACTTTCTTAAAGTAAATTTTATATACATAATGAACACATTTATCACAGGAAATAGGAAAGGCAAAAAATGAAAATGGTCAGTAATCCTGCTGCCTAGAAATGAATACATTTTTAGGCACTCTTCTGCTTCTTGTTTTCATAGAGTGTTGTCTACTGTTTATTATTGGTAAGAATGGTAAAGTCAGCTGGACCTGACTCAAATCTCAGTTAAAAACATGATTAATCACTATAAAACTTTGGACAAGTAACTCCATGAGCCTCAAAAATAGAGACAAAATGTTTTGTTTTAACCTGCTCCTTTCTGCTGGAGAACACTGCTGAGGAGGCATTGCAGAAGTGTTTATTCCCACTGTCATCTAAGTCAATCAGAGTCTCTTGAAAAACCCTAAAAAACCACAAAAACTATTCACTGGAGGGTCAAGATTGGAAACAACAGATGAAAGTCTGAGGAGTCATTTGAGCAATGGAGGATATCTACAAACTATTTAGTTATGAGAGATTCAAATACCAAGCACTCCAGGTGTTTTGGGTTTGTCATATACGAGGATGTAACATGAAAGCAAGACCCCAGAAGCTGGATAGAAGGGTTGTGGAACCCAAGAGGGCTGTCTCAAGAAAAGATTCTCAAAGACCAGGTGCCCACTGTGTTAAATGTGAAAAAAGACCTTTGTTGATGGAATTAAAGAAGAAACTGAAAAACATCACTTAGGAAATTATTTTAAGCAGTAAGGGAAAACTATCTGAAACCATAACTGACTGAGGCAGTGGCAAGAAGAGGGGCTTTACTTTTATAACTTTTGATGACATGACTCCATTGAGAAAATTCAGAATTACCAAACTGAATGGTCACAACTGTGAAGTAAGGAAAGCCCTGTCAAAGCAAGAGATGGCCAGTACCTCTTCTAGCCAAAGAGGTCAGAGTGCTTCTGGAAACTTAGGAGGTAGCCATGGAGGTGGTTTTGGTGGAAATGGTAATTTTGGTCAAGGATGAAACATCGGTGGACAAGGTGGCTTTGGTGGTGGCCATGGTGGTGGTGAATATGGAGGCAGTGGGATGTTTATTATGGATTTGGTAATAACGGAAGCAACTTTGGAGGTAGTGAAAATTACAATGATTTTGAAAATTATCAATCTTCAAATTTTGGACCCATAAAGGAGGAAATTTTGGAGGCAGAAGCTCTGGCCATTATAGTGATAAGGGTCAGTATTTTGCCAAACCATGAAACCAAGGTGGCTGTGGTGGTTCAAGCAGCAGCAGCAGTAGCTATGGCAGTGGCAGACGGTCTGAATAACTACCAGGAAACAAAGCTTAGCAGAAGAGAAGAGCCAGAGAAAGGACTGGGCAGCTACAGATTACAAGACTGGTGAGCTCAGTCAAGCACAGCAGTGGCAGGGCCTTGGCTGCTACAAAGAGGACATGTTTTAGACAATGCTCATATGTAGGGGTGAAAAACCTCAAGGACTATATTTGTGACTAATCGTATAACAGGTTATTTTAGTTTCTGTTTTGTGGAAAATGTAAACCACCCTGAAAACAAGTGTTTAAATGTACTTTGTTTTGTTTGTTTTTTGGTATTCATCTTGTTGATTGTTAAATGTATTAGTCAGACATGATGCTGAATAAATGTCTTTAAAAAATAAATAAATAAAAAATGGAGATAGGCATCATGGCCTAATGACATCTTGGTCCTCCATGTCTTTCTTTGCTAAGTATTTCCTCTAAAAAACTTCTGCTGGGGGGGGGACGGGGGATCGGGACAGGAGGGGGGGGAAATGGAGACAATACTCCCCGCCTCACAAGGCTGTGATAAGAACTAAATAACAATTCCAGGAAGCAATGCTTCATGTGGCCCACTGAGTGGATAGTCATCTCTCTGTAAGGAAAGGAAAGGCGTCACAAGGCAGGACAAAATACCAGCTTTTGCAAACATCATTAGCACATAAAGGACCTGTTGCTCACTGAGGAAATCAGACAGATATGTCTATCCAGATCAAAGGTCCTTGAAGGTGGACCGAGGGTGCCCTTCCAGGTGTGGCTTAAAGAAATAGGTAGAAGGAATAACACTGGCCCCTTTGGCAGCCCTAGGAAGAGGATCCTGCCAAAAAACAGATCCAGCCAGTGTCTTAGCCAACATAAACCACAGAAAGAAAAACTTCAAGAAATCAGGCATTGGGGGAAATTAGCAGGATGAATGCCTAAATGAGAAGCTGTGAATGGGAGGAGAGGAGAGGAGGAATTGCTGCTGAGAAGTAAAGGCCCCTGAGAGCTAGAGTATATGGGGAAAGGGAGAAGAGTGCTCAATGTCAATCAGTGTCCTCAGTCTGGCTCCAGGACAAAGAACCTTGGAGTCTATGCAAAAAAAAAAGAATGCCCCTTAGTGTTGCGCAATTCAACAATGGCCCTGAAGGTGTTCTCTCGCAACTGCCCTTTGCCTAAACTCAAGTGTGGGCAGGGAGTAAAAAACCTATAGGAGGTTAACTTCTCCTTTACACTTGGTAGAGGCACAGGGCTAGGATGACACAGCTGCCTTGCTGAGATGTAACAGAAAGTACAGCCAGGATCTAGCTTTGTTAATAACCGAATCATCAGAAATGGCTAAGAAAGACTGACCAAACCTGACTCCATGTAGAAACTGTGACTGAGCATGGATGGTGGAGTAATCTTGGTGCCAGGAAGCTCCAAACTCCCTGGAGATCTCAGGTCTTTGGTGAGTATTGAAGGGGATAAATAAACTATGGTTCCAGAGGCCAACAGAAGCCAGGCCCCAGCTGTTAGCTCAGCTGGGCCAATGAATAATTAAAAGGCCCCCAATTCCCCTTTCTAAAGAGGGCTTTTTGAATGCAGTTAGCTGCCACTATTGTTTGGGGCTTGTTGAAGTGGTGGAGGAGGAAGGAACTGTGTGCTGGGATCCCCTTGAAGCTCAAAGAATAATTTGAGCTTCTTTCCGTCTCCCTGAACCAGTGCTTCCCTCTTAGATAGCAGAGACAGGTAAAATTTCCTCCCAAAACTTTACTTGCTACCTTTTTTTCTTTTGTCCCCTTAAGTACATTAAAAGTAAACAAGGCATCAAAGAAGACATTCAGGTAGCAAAAAAAAGAAGAAATCTATTACTAACCATTAGAGAAATGTAAATAAAAATCACAATGCGATATCATCTCACCACAGCAACAAAGATGAAGACAACAACAAATGCTGGCGAAGGCATGGAGAAATTGCAACTCTAATATGCTTTTGGTGGGACTGCAAAATGTTATAACCACTGGAGAAAACAGTAGTGCTTCCTTAAAAAGCTGGAAAATGAAATCCCACTACTTAGGTATATATTCTAAAAAAATAAAAGCTGTGGGGGTAGAGGTGGGGTGGGTGGGGAGAAAAGTGCAACAATGAATGAATGGAATTCCAAAATCTCTGTAGATGTTCACTGAAATTTAAAAAAATTTTAAAAAGCTGTGACATGGATAGATATATGAATGGTCATGTTCTTTGCAGTATTATTCAAAGAGATGAGAAAAACCTAACTGCCCATGAATAGATGAATAAAGTATGGTACTCACACAGACAGATTTAATGTCATGTTAAAGAAGAATGGAAAAACTCTCAAAACAACCCTACTGATATAGCAACCCTCCATCAAGTTTCCAAGGCTGTAAATCTTTACAGGAGGAGACAGCCCATTTGTCCCCCTCAGAGCAGTGAGTGGATTCTAATCTCTGTCCTTTCGTGATGAGCAGTCAATTCATTACATTCTAGACCACTAGAGCAAAAGAACAATGAAGAATCCTCAAAATACCTCATAACATGGATGAAGGACATCATGCTGAATGAAATGTCAATCACAAAAGGTCAAATGTACGAGTCCATTATTATAAAAATTTCAGAAAAGCTTTACATGAAGAAACATTTTTTTTTAAAAAAGCATTTTTTTCAAAATGGGTGACCCTGGAGGACATGATGCTGAGTGAAATATCTCAGTCACAAAGGGACAAATGCTATATGGTGCCACTG